ACCCATAGTTTTCACTAGTCTTTGTACTCTCTTTTTTTTTATAGCACTCTTCTTTATTTGTGTAACCTTCGGCTTCCCAAAGACTTCCGAAACTAAGGTCAAAAGTTTTGTATAGGTTACTCTTTTTCACTTCGAAGATAAGCCTCGACCTGGGTTCCAGATGTCATACGCACATTACACGACCATGGAGAACTTCGTGTAATGATGTTAACAGGCGATCATGAAGCAAGCGCATGGAGAGTTGCAAATGTTGCGGGCATCAAAGAGGTTTACTGTAGCCTTAAACCCGATGATAAGCTATATCATGTGACAAGAATTTCAAGAGAATCTGGTGATATTTCTTCTCAGACAAATTTGCATTGATATTTTGGATCTTACAAGTTACTTCTCGGTTTTCAAATGCATTTAGATTTTGACATCCAAAAATTTAAGGTCCGTTTGTAACTCTAGGAATGGACTATTTTTTGGTCGTGCTTCTTTAATTAATGAGGTAGTAGTTAGTTAATCAATGCAACTTTCAATGATGAGCCAGAGGTCTCTTTGGAAACAGCCTCTACTTTCGAGTAGGGGTAAGGTCTGCGTACACACACCCTCTCCAGACCCTACTCTTGTGGGATTTCAATTGGGTTGTTGTTGTTGTAACTCCAAAAATGCCAGAGAAAGAAAATGAGAGGAAAATTTAGGGGCATAATTTGGACGGAAACATGTATAAAGACTAAAATAATCTAGGCAAATTATTGTATGGACCTTAGGTCCATGGTTGACCTTCATATATGCTAAATAAGCATTTTTTAAAATAAAAAAATATGTGTGAAGGTCCATGTGGACCTTTGATCCACCATAAAACCTCTTAGGAATCTAAAGTCTAAACAAACATAGACTTATTGAAAAATAATTAAGATTATATTGTATATGTATTTCATTTTTCTTTGCATTTTCCATTGCAGCACAAAACCAGAAAGTAACAGTCCATAGCAATTTTATCCCTTTCCATATCATTTTCCGGGGTTCAAACATAATACATAGCCTTAATGTCTCAATTCATTTGTAATTTGTCAGTTGTCACATAATATTTGTGTACTTTTTTTTGCAGGGGGGCTAATAATGGTAGGCGATGGTATCAATGATGCCCCTGCTCTTGCTGCTGCTACTGTTGGCATTGTTCTAGCTGAACGTGCCAGTGCATCAGCTATAGCTGTTGCAGACGTCCTGTTATTGCAAGACAATATTTCTGGTGTTCCATTCTGTGTGGCTAAATCTCGGCAATGTTGTCAATGTCTTCATCATCATCATAACCATCAACGTTCACATGTGAGGAGGAGGGATTTCCATATTCAAACGTGGATGAGGGATTCATAGGAGGAAATTAGCTAATGCTATGACGATGTTCGGAAAGGCTTTCCCGAATTCCTTTTTGCAAATTCTCCTCGTTGATTGTTTCGGGGTCTTCCTCAACAACTTCCT